GAAATGCAGATTGGCCATCAGCTGTCAGAAGAGCAAAAGAGACTGCTGAGCTAGAAGTCAGCCTGCACTCCCAAGTTCATGGCATCAAATGTGTGCTTGGTTCCTGGAACTAACATGGGTGGGCCAGAGTAGGTCTTGTTCAAAGGACCGACTTGGATAGAATGAAGGGCCTTAGTGGAAAGAGACTGGAGGTAAATTGTTTGATTTGGGGGGCAAAGAAGGAGCAATGATCTGGAACAAAGGATAATTTGCTCTTTGTTTGTTTGCTTGCTTGGTTGATTTTTGTTTGTTCTGAGACAAGGTCTCACTCTGTAGCCTAGGCTATCCTGGAATTCACTATTCATCCCAAGCTGGCCTTAAACTTGTGATACTCCTCTTGCTTCAGCCTTCCCAGGGCTGAGATTATAGGCATGAGTCACCATGCCCAGTGATAACTGGCTTTTTTCCATTGGGAGTGAATACCTCAGCAGCCTGGAAAGAGATCTCTGAGAGACCCATACATGAGGCCACAAGAGGAAGAGTCAGCATTAATGCCTGCCAGACCCAGGAAACTGGGAGGTGGGAAACAAGGTGCTGGCCACTAGGCACTTTCCTGAGAAAGCAAAGCTACCACTCATGCTGTAGGAAGTGGTAAGAGCAGAGATGCACAAACACCACCTCTTCACTGCCTTGCTGGAACAAAGAAGGAATGGCCAGTGCTAACCCCCTTCACTAGAAAGTTATTACTCCAGCTCTGATTGCATCCCCTAACTTGCAGTGTTGTTCTGTTCTCCTCCCACTTCACCCCTGCTGTCCCCACTCTGACTCTCTTTAGTTCCAGATCAGCTGAGTTCTCCCTGAGAAGTCAGAATTATCCAGAGTCCACTGGACCATCCAGCATAGTTACTAGAAAACAGGTTATTATAGACAATCTCACCCAGAACATCCTATTTTCTACATAAGAACCTGAAAACCTAAGAACTCAATTGTATGTTCAGAATCACTAAGCTGACATGGGAACCCACATCTCCTGGTCTCTACCATACTATTCTATCACATAGCATCACAATGACTCTCCCAGGCTACTCCTGCAACCTTCATTCCTCTCCACAAATACCCCCAAATGGTAGAACAGACAAAGGACAAATATTGAACTAGCTGGTCATCTCTGAATGGCATAATCAGTGGTCATAAATCCTTTCTCAGAATAATAGGGTAGTCTGATTTTTCTTCTTCTGCTGGGATCAAACCCAAGTCCTCATGCATACTGGACAAGTTCTCTACCACTGAGCTATACCCTCAACCCTAGTCTAATGCTTCCTGTACTTTGTTCAGTATAGCTGGGACTCAAGTCATAATTAGGTCTCCCAGATGCATTAGAGTGATGAACAAGGGAAGACCCAGAAATTAGATTTGAAGACAAAGACTCGAATCAAGAATCTGCAAAGGTAAGTGGCTATGACTAGTGGCAGGAGGATTAACAGAAAGAAAAACACTGCCCCAGAATGTGTTAAGCAAGAAGAAAATGTTGACATCAAAATGAAATGGGGTTTATAAGATAAACCTTTGCCAAGCAGAAAGCCTGTCCCCCTTATAATAACTCCCAGGCCACCTGATCTACTACCCCCATTTCAGGGTACAGACCTTGCCCTTCTTTCTGAACACTCATCAGGATGCTGGTTTTCAAGTAAGAATGTATACTTCCATCTCCCTTTAATGGCCATGTTTAATTCACACTACCTCTCTTTATAGGCTCACCTTTAGTCATTCACCAACATTTGTTCTATTACTCAACCAATCCAATGCTCACAATACACAGCAGAACCAGATCTCAATTCAAGTTCCAGTTTAGATACTTTCTAGCTGTATGCTATGAGCAATCACTCTTGCAGAGGGTTGGTTTTCCCAAATGTTAAATGGGGATAAATCAATAGGTGCTTTCTTACTGGTGTGAGAGGAAAACATATGAGAAGTACTTTGTCCAATGCCTAGCACACAGTAAGCATTCAAAACATGGTGATGGCCTATTAATGTTCTGACCACACCAGCTGAAACTCCATTTTTGGAATAAAGTCTCAAAGGGCTGAAATGGACTATCAAGGTCATTCAAGGGAGTGACTTGTGGGAGAATGACCAGATTTCTTGATTTTGGAGATGTCAGTTAGTCACTAGTTCCTTTAAAACAATAGCATTGTCCAGTGACCTAGAAATCTGGGTATCTGATCACAGTCAAGTATTGGTGATTTAAAGTATTCACATGCATTAAGAACTGTGTTCACATGCATTAAGAACTGTGCAGGCATATTAAAGTTTGAGGCAGCGATATCAGGTCGGTATAAGAAGGTCATTTCATTGCTTTGGGCAAGCAGAAAAAAAACCCCACAAAAAACAACAACAACAAAACAAACAAACAAACAAAAACCCTCAACAACAGACAAAAATCTGGAGTCGCAGTTTATGTTGCCCAGTGACAGCAATATTTATGTCCATATTTGTTCTATGATGTAGATAAAAGCATGACCAATGTCCAGACTGCCTTGTTCCTGGAAATGTTTTGTTGTTGTTGCTGCTGCTGTTTTGATTGGGAACAAGAGGGAGGGAGACTCTAAAGACCAGAGACTAAGATGGGGCTAGTCAAGGGTAACAATCAGATGAAATGGGTGTGGTGTGTGGATTTAAAGCAAGTCTCTGTCAATGCTCCGTAGAATGGCAGTTATTATCTATAAGGTGGGTTTCTTGCTGCACTGATTGGAGAATGCACATTTATCTCAAAGCATGAGTTATCCCCTCAGAAGTTCGGAGAAGAATCTTCTCTTTGCGGCTATTCAGTCTCCTTCTTGGCTGGCTTCTGTAGCCTTGAGGCTGATTGTTAAGGTCTCACTAAAACTCAGGCTGAATGACATTCTAATGGAAATGGATCAGTCCAGAAGCTCAGGGCTCAGGGGTGCCTATTGAAAACTGAAACAATGAATGGATGAATCAACCAGAAGGCATTCACCCATCACTCAAGCCTAACTACAAAAGTAGTCAGAAGTGGACAATCCAGAATGTCCTGAATGTGGCTTCTGGAGAGAAAAGGTGTAGAGAAACACACTCTTCAATCATATTCCTTTATCAATTAGATCTCCCAATATTATTTGGCAGGTGAAATCTTGTACACTGCTGAGATTCCAAAGAAAGAAGCAACGTCAAGACCCAAGTCCTGCCTATGCAGACGGTTTGCCTTAATATTTGTTCTCTCTTCTACAACAACATCCAGGATGGAAGCCAAGGGCCCTGAAAAGATCTCAAAGTCCCCAGGTGCCATTAGCATAAAGGAGATGGATGGAAACTCAGAATGGGAATGGCAGTGACAGTGGTTACTCTTCAGATTGTCAGTCTTGACTATGCCCAACCCACAACACAGAACTGTTAACATCAGAGAAGATGGAAAGTCTCTTTTGAGAACCATTGTTTGAAGGATCGGGGGCCAATATCACCCTACAACTAAATTTATACATGGGGGAACTGATGCCAAGCTGAACATTAATAGAACTTTTGAGTGGAAGGGTACAGGAACCCACTCCTGAACCTGACGCATGTGAGCAAAGGGAAGTGAGCAGGCTTTCCATGTGAGCCAGGTTACTCTCTCAGTCTCAGTTCTATCATGGATGTATGTGCCAGAAGAAAAAAACATTTCCTGGAATCACAGTAGCATGGAGCATTCCATAGTTTGAGTCTGAGGCAAATATAAATTTTCTTTCTTTCTTTCTTTCTTTCTTTCTTTCTTTCTTTCTTTCTTTCTTTTTCTTTCTTTCCTTCTTTCTTTTTTTTTCCAGCCAGGGTGTTATATAGCCCTGGATGCCCTAGAATTTGATATATAGATCACGCTGACCTCAAACCTATGGTGATTCTCCTGATTTTACCTCCTAAGTACTGCTGGAATTATAGGCATTTGTCATGGCATCCAGCCCAAATGTATATCTTGAACCAAACCTATAGGCACCAAATTCCACCCCAAGCATCTTTTATCCCATAATAGAAAAGCATAACCTACAAATCCTAGGACACTTGATTCAAAATACTCAAATTCCAGGAAAGGAAAGTTAGCATACTACAGTGTACTGAATGTGACTTAATTTCTCTCAATTTAAGAACCATAACCAAAAATACCCATTCCTGCCCTTTCCTCCCAATCAGCTTACAATTTACTTTTCAAAACCAAACCTTCTGGTTCCTGAGACAGTACATGGGATGTGGGGGTGGGAAATCTGGTCAGATTCAGATTATCTGAATTCCTACTCCATATTCTCTTCTTGGCCAGGTATTGAACAAAGGGAGCCAAGAGTGTGCCAAGGCAGAAATTATCCACATCTTAAAAGGAATGATCCTGAAATTAAAACCTACAACCCAAACCACCTTGTCTGTAATTAGGGGGTGGAAAGAGCTGGGAGGAGGAGAGTAAAGGGACACAAATTTGAGAACAGTAGGCTGGGGGAAGGTTAGATATCCTTTTCTCCCTCAAGGACAGCCAGATCAGATATGGCAGCCACTAAGGCCAAGCTGCCTCACTTTACTGCCCTGAAGCAGGTCTCTCCCTATGACACCAGAGGTCCCTACATCATCAGACACCCTTCTCAGAGCTTAAAAGGCCCCTGTCACTAATGTCCTGGCTTGACACCTCCCAAGGAAAATCCAACCAGGGAGGAGCTCCAGGATGTCCCAGACAGACAGGGAAAAAACAAGACCATTCACTACCTGTATGCTACAGCAACAGCTTTTCTGATAAACACTATACTTTTAAAACTGACACTGATCTTTCCCTGTCGAAAAAGCTATAATTTAGCCCTTTTCTGTAAAAATGATGCTTTTTCCTTTAGAAACGACATGTAAATCTGATATAACTGAAACACAGCATAAGGCTCACTAACTCTTCTAATATCTTTATTCAAGAAACCCAGGCTCTTAAATTGCTTTATAAGTGTAGAAAATCATGCCCCATCACTTTCAAAGAGAGAGTCAAGAAAATTTGACTTTCTTACCTTATACTCCGTATATCTGAAGAACAGTCGGTCTATAGAAAACTCTTCTCTCATCCTTTGTGGTGGGGAGGTCAGACTTCCATATCATTATCCTCAGCTGTGAATGAACAGCTTGGGATAAACCAACTGAACTATGCAGTAATAAGGCCTGCCTAGTTAGAGGGGAAAGGTCCACGGAAGTGGGGCTGTCTGGGCTAGCCACCTAAACTGACCTTAGCAACTTTAGTTCCAGGGTCACAAATTGAAAGCTCAGGGTACTTCCTTTTCTCCTGCTATCCTTACAAGTCCTGGAGCCTCCCTTGATCCTGTCTCTCTAAGTGGCCAAAGTCAACATGAAATCAGCTTGTCATTTCTCTCCAAAGACTAGCATTCCATCTCCTCTACTGCCCATCTTTGTCTCTAAACACAAAGTCTCAGAGAGAGGGATAAGCCTCATCTCACTCCACTCCTCCATGTCACTAGACCTAGTTGTCCTGGCAGACCCACCCTTGGCCCAACCACTTGTATCATTAGCTCACTCAGAGAGATGCAGGAGGGTCACCCAGAAGTCCAGAGCCTACTGTGCCTCCTGTCTCCAGTCACTTCACAGACGCAAGCGGATCTGCCTTCCAACCAGATAAAGAACCTGAGCTCCTAGATGGCTGTCTTGCCACAGGGTTGGAGCCTGTGATCACATGGAGCCCAGAGGCAAGCTGGGGGCCTGGTTCCTGGAGACAGCGTTGGGGATTTGGGTCCTGGAACCTGGGCCATTTGTTTTCTAGAGAGTACCACTTCCAAGGCAGGTCAGTCAGCCCCCTCCGTGGCCCAGAAAAGAAAGAAACTTAGGCATCCTGAGGACCCCAGTCTGAAGATAAGAATAAGGGTTCATTTGTTATTTGACAATGGGTGAGCAGAGCCCCAAGGTTACACAGGTAGGCATTTCCCAAGGGTCCTCTCTTCTCCAGTAAGAATCTGTAACCAGCCTCAAAGCCACCTGCCACCACAAACACTGTGCTGAGGCAACCATACATATATCCCCAAGAAACTCCAGAAAAGAAAGAAAGAGTGAGGGGAAGAAGGGAATCGGGTCAGTTTCTGACTGGGCATAGAAAAAGTGAAGACACCCGGGAAAGACGCCACTGTCTCCCTGGCCTTGCCAGAAACAAGGGCTACATGGCTCCCCATTCCAGCTTTCCATCAACCACCAAGAACAAGAGATCCAATATCAGGGAGTGTAGATGAAGAGCTGGCAGCCAGGACACTGACCTAGGCACGGCCCTGACAGAAAATGCCCAGGTGTGCCCACCATCACCCGGTTTTTTTTTATGCACACGAGGGAGAAGGCAATAGGGTCATTTTGACAGGGCTCCTTCCTCTCCAGCAAAGTCCTCAGTCTTCAACTTAGGAGGGTCGATGGTTGCCACTCGAGACCTGGCTCTCCAGCTTTCGTTCGGTCTGGCGCCCCCCTCTGTCCTCCCGAGGCCGCCTCTGGGGTGCTCTCCACTGGGGGGGGCGGGGGGGAGAGGTGTCAAAACCTTCCGCAGCCTGAGATCCTCGGCCAGATCCTTCACCCTCGCCTCAACCCGGCACCCCTTTGTTTCAGGTGGGGAAAGTTGCCAGTGTGCACCCCCTTCGCCAACACGCCCCCCTGTGCGCCCATCCCCCGCGGGAATCCAAGCCCAGACACACCATCTAATCTGCGGCTCGCTCTCCAGTCCGAGCAGCCGCTTCGAAACCGAAAGCAAAGAGGACGTGGGATCCGGCCGTGTCCCCACACCGGGTCGCCGGGTCTTCCCCATCACCGCCCCCGTCGCCCGCGCCCCTGTGCTCCGCGCTGCCGGCCCTGCGCGGACCCCTCTCCCCGCGGCCTCAAGGCCTCTCTGCGGGCATCGCGGGCACCTACCGGTGCGGGGCCGGAGCCGGGGCCATGGGCAGGGCAGGGCAGGGTCCGGCCAGCCGCCCGCCCGACGCAGGTGCGGCCAGGAGCGCGGTCTCGGGCTGGCTCCCGCTCCTCCTCCCGCGCCTGGACTCGGGGCGCTCTCCTGCGCCGCCCGCTCCCCGCCCCCACGCCCGGCGCTCGGGCTCCCCCTGCGCCGAGTGGCC